AAAAAAAAAAACCTAAGGAATCCTTGTGGCACCTTAGAGAATTAACAAATTTATTTGGGCATAAGCTTTCATGGGCTAGACTAGAACATGAAGTGAAAAAATACAGGAGCAGGTATAAATACCTAAATAAATCCAGGTTATTGTAGAATACAATTTCAAAAAGATCTGCCAGTGAAATACATCTGGGCTCAAACTGATTTTCTGGTTGTTATTCCCCTTTAATTCTCTTTGTATCCCCTTTTGGGTTTTTTAATGTGTCTTTGTTTTTTAATTTACCTCCCTTCTTTCATAAGTACTATAATTCCAACTTGCTTGAAATGGAAACAGGACAGAGGTGATCCACACCTTTCTAGGAGTCCTACACTCCGTGCCCTTGACTTTGCAGGTAACGCTGAACATGTCTCTTAGACAGTGTAGCTGCCACTCCAAGTATAAGACAGTGGCCACTATACAAAGTATCCAGGTAACCTCAGTAACTGTTCAGAGGTGAGCCGCTGTGTACTGTGATATTTTACAGTGCATGAGATGTACTATAAAATGATATGATTTATATCACTGTTTCTGCAATTCTCTTAATATGCTCCCGGCAGGGCCAGGGAGCCATGGGAGAGGGGAGATATATAAACCTTAGCCTAATTAAGGCGTGGTTCCCTGTAGACGAGGGAAGGTTACCTCAGGTTAATTGGAACACCTGTAGTCAATTAAGGCCCTGTCAGGAACCTAATAAAACCTCCCTGCTTCAGGTAGAGAGGGTTGTGTGAGGCAGGAGAGGGGACTGGAGTTGGGTTGCTGAGACTTGAAAGACTAGAGAACTGGTGGAAGAGAGATGCCCTCCCACAGCGTTAAGGACCAAGGGTAAGAAACCTGCAGGGGTTGTGAGGGGCTGGGGCTTAGAGTGAGGAGTAAATCCAGACCGCTTCTCTCCTCTACCACCTTCCCGGGCCACTAGTGGGGCCCTTTCTGCCACAAGAGCAGGGGCAAGTGGTGGGGTCCTAATCTCTCTCTATTCTCTCCCCTCCCCACCCCCAAACTGTGAAAAGCATGGGATCCACCATACCAATATCAGCCATTTTGCCACAGCTGCTGTACATTGGATCATCAGCAATTTAAAACAGCCAAAGCAATAGTGTGCATCTTCAAAAAAAAAAAAACCCCACAACTACATCCATAATGTAAGGTGCCAAGGAGGCCAGTGTTCAGCAGCATATATAATACAAACCCATGTGCTGCCAAAGCGAGGTAAATGTAATGCAAACATAGCCAAGCAATGGCAGATTGGAGTTGAAAGTTTGCTTGTCAGATTCTGAAATAAAAAAAAAGATGAAAATAACTTCCTTTGGCACACACTGTCCCAAAAATGTTACACTGCGAATGACTGTGTCAACCATTTCATATAGTCCATAGCGATCCTAAAACTACACCCAAACCATGGAATTCCAGCAACTGGATAGACAGGCTTGTGCATTAGGGAAATACAGGCAGGCAGTGATTATTGTGCCTTTTGCACCAATGTATTGGATTCTCTTACACGTAAATGACTAATTCATTGTGTGTAATCATGTTCTATGTTGCCTAGGCAGTGTTGTGGTAAATGAAATATCAGAGTGTATATACTGATTCCCTGAAGAAGAGCTGGTCCACTTACATGAAACAAATAAGTAAAATGTCTCAAAGACCCTTGTGGTCAACTTTTTTTTTTTAAGTTGATCCTCCATCTTGCTTCTGTAAGTGCACTCTGTGTACTGCAGCCATGGTTAAAAGGGAAAAATCAAATTCCCCCAAACTGGATATTGTACTCGGCTCCTCTCTAGTTGTAAGACAGGAGTTCTGCTTAGAAGGGCGATGTCTTCTGCTCTAAAAGCACACAAGTGAGATGAAAATGCTAGTGTTCTCATTCTTGCACATTAAGGCTCTGATCCTGCAACTTACGTGCAGAATGCTGTACCTCCTGAATCCTCTTGACTTCAGTGGGGCTTGATGTGGTTCAGGGATGCTCATGCATGAAGTCACTTGCAGGATTGGAGCCTCCAAGGCTTTAGCCCACAGGCTGTGGCATAGAATCACAGAGCCTGGGGCAACAGACCTTGGGCTTGTGCTCCAGTGCTAAAGACACCTGTGTAGATATTGCAGCATAAGCTGGAGCTTAGGCTCTGAACTCCCCCCGCCCCTCCCCCCCGACTTCAGAGCCTGATAGGGTGACCAGACAGCAAATGTGAAAAATGGGGGTGGGGGGTAATAGGAGCCTATATAAGAAAGACCCAAAAATCAGGACTGTCCCTATAAAATTGGGACATCTGGTCACCCTAGAGCCTGAGCCTGAACATCTACATAGCTATTTCTAGTGCAGTGCAAGCCTTGAGTCTGTCAACCCAGGCTCAGAGACTCCTGGCTGCAGGCTGCCGTTGGTTGTGTAGATGTATCCTGATTGTCCACAACTCAAATAAGCTCTTGCACTAAACCTGCCCTGAATGATGCTGACAAGCATTACGTGAAACACAGTATGTTGTAAATTAAAATACCTGTGCTGACTTGTTAAATTCTAAAATATGTTTAATGCTTGCAGGATAAAGACACTAAACTTCAAAGCCAGTGGAGTGGGTGGCACAGAGGCATTGTTTCACATTCACTCTGAATTCTGGCTTGGCTATGTTGAGCAAAAGGGGGCAGGGAATAAAGATGTCCACTTTAAATAGAGTGCACTGTTTTGTATTGTTCTCTGCAGCTAGTGCCCACCATCTCATGCAGCTATTTTCACACAGCCCTGTTGCCTGTCCGGGTGTGTGTCAAGATGTATGCCGTCAGACTGAATCAAGACACTGCAAAGCTTGTTTGGCTAAATTTCTTGTGGGAACTAATATGTATAGGTTTGCAATCATGCTGTGGGAATTATGTATCTGTGGGGAACTGCTGTTTGGAAAAAATAATAAATAAATTCATTTCAGCACCATGAGCCAGGTACTTAGTATTTTGTACAAAAAAATTCACCCTGCAAAGTCCCTTTGAGCCAGGTGTTCTCTGGCCATTGCCTATAGTGCATTTTAAAAAAAATAAGGGCTGAGGTTGAGACCCTCTCTTGTGTATACAATCACTGCATGCACTTCTCCATAATACTGGAGAAAGCAATACCCTCTTCAGTTACTGATTTAGAGTGTTAGTTGAGTGTTGAGTCAGTGCCTTACTGACTGGGCAGAAGCATCAAGGATTCAGTCATGGATGCTGAACCACCAAAGTGTAGGAGTAGTGAAAATAATTTGGTTTTGTTGGGGGGAACCCCTAGGTGTTTGTATCATCTTCCATGTTTTTAAATTTCTATGGGCACATTCATGTGCTGGTGTACATACAACAATGTAATGGAGGCCAAAGTTGCCTGCTACCTCAGCCTCTGACAGTCAACAGCCACTTTCTTTACACATCTGACTGCAGGGGAAAGTCAGCCAGCACCATGAATTGTATAAAAATGTAGTAGGATGAAATTTTGGGTACAGAGGAATTTTAAATAGTTAAAGCTAGATTCACAAAAGGATTTAAGCACTTAAACCCCAGATTTAGGGATCCTGCCATTCACAAAATGCCTGCTCAGGTGCCACAGCACCAACTAAGCTCAACAGCTCAGACCTCTAGAGGCAGGCTTAGACAAACCGACTCGGGGGAGCAAGGACTCCCCCCTTGTAACTTTTAGCCCACTAGTTAGGGTACTCAGCTGGGATCTGGGAGACCTCTGGTGGAGGGGGGAACTAACCCCTGGACTATGGGATAGTCTGGTGTGGTGCTGCAGATAACTTAAAAAAAAAAAGCAGGGGCCAATGAGTGTGTGTGTGCACGCAAACACGAGACTCACTGTACTGTGGTTGCTAGAGAAATCACACAGGAGACCTAGAAGCCAGTGACTCTTTAAATTTTTTTTATCTACAGCGGAACAGCTTAAAGAGGAGCGACAGAGGTGCCCCTCCCTGAATATCCCACTGGAAAGGTGGCAGATGCCTGTTCAATGCCTTCTCCCTCTCAGGGGGAAGGTGTTGTCAACCAGGGTTTTCCAATATCCTACATTAGTATCCTAACCACAGTTAAAGGCAGGTTCCCTCCTCCTCCCACACTTCTAGCTGAAGTGGCATGGGCATCTAACTCCAAAAAAAGGGGGTGGCAGCTGAGATTCCCAAGCACAGCAAGGCACTCCCCCTGCAGCCCAGACTTAGATGCCTACTGCAGAGGGGTGGGGATTGGCTTCTCCTATTGGCTAGCTTCTGTGAGGCACCACCTAATGCCCAGGTTATCAAAACAATTTTTGGTGGCCTCAGAGTGCACTAGTGGTTGCACTGACACTTTTTCCTAAAAAACGTAATTAACTTTAAGAAAAACAATTTAAATAGGCAGATACACACCCAAATATTGTAATTTTTATATATATATATGTATTCTGAAGACTCAAAAATAATACTGTGAAAAGTGATATTTGTGAATATCACTTTTCACAGCACACTTAGGCATTGGCTACACTTGCAAGTTACAGCGCTGTAACTCACTCCCCGGCCACACTGGCAGGACACTTACAGCGCTGTATCTCCCTGGGTACACCGCTGCACCCACCACATCTCCAAGAGGAATAACAGCTGCAGCGGAGTGGCTACGACTCACGGGTGTGAGTGTAAACGCTTGCAGCACTGTACTAATCACCTTGTCAAGTGGCCAATCCTCTCCATTGTTGTGACCGGCTGCAGGAATGCGGAAGTGCCGGTTTCAAAGCTCGTACCACAGAGAAAAGCAAACAGTTTGCAGCTTGCTTTGAGTGAGTGAATGAATGAGCAGGGGGCCGGGAGTTTGGAACTTGCAAAATAGAGAGCTGCCTTGCTCCAAAAAGCACTCTCTCTCCCGCCCCACATTCCCTGTCACAATCCACCCCACCCCGTTTTGAAAAGCATGTTGCAGCCACATGAATGCTGGGATAGCTGCCCATAATGCACCGCTCCCAACACAGCTGCAAAT